GGCTCTTCCTGCTGCCCCAGCTTGGGTGATTCCATCCGATGATAGACCTCCTGTATCCGACCTCTCCGTACAGCCGCGCTCTTAGGTCTTATGATTCTGCAAGCGACGGCTGGCAGGCGTCGAGACCCGGGCAACGTCTATGCCAGACCTAGCGTCCAGGTAAGCAAAGCTAGGCTTCTGGTCCATGTACACGCCCAGTACATCATAAGAGCACTCGCACTAGCCCATGTCTGCCATTCCACTGTTCATGTAGCGCAATCTGTCGCTGCGATCTGCGATCGGCCGATTCACGCGCTTTGAGTGTCTCTGGTCTCTTGGCTGGGATACTTCCGTCTCGGGCTTCGTGCCGACTTATAGATCGAGTGCTGACCAGTATCTTTTCGTAGGCGACACACGTCCTCTGGACAAAGCGGATAACCTATCGATATGCGCCGGTCTTCATGAGCGATGGAGGCACTGTACTTTGTCGGGAGCCGTCTAGGTAAGTACATCTGTTGACGTAACAACCTCACGCTGCTACAGAATGTGGCACTGAACTCCGAGCCGCTCGTGTAGCGATGCTCATCAACGTGCGTCCGCTGATCCTGCGCTGGTCCATCACTCCGTCGATGGTCTTGCCAAGGGATGCACGGTGGGCGCAGTGCACGCAATTATGAGATTACGATCCTAACTACTTCGTCTGATTAGAACCTATCTACCGTACGCAGTGCGGTATGTTCCGTTAATGCGAGTCTAGCCGTGGACGTTCGGCGGACTGATCTGTGGTCCGAAACGAAACCTCAGACGGTCCGTTCTAGGGAGCCTTTTGCCCATGGAGACCACAGACTCTCGCCTATACCTCCCAAGCTCCAATCATTCCGCCACCGCAGCATCATTTACTCCCCGCACACTTCGAGAGCAACTCGACTTACCTCACTGAATGCTGCGTCCTCGAGGCTTCCTTCACTCCGCTACATGCGCGGCAATCACGATCAGCCCGCCGCACTCTACAAGGCCGATTTTGGAGTGTAGCAGCTCTTTTACGGCGTCGAAATCGACGCCAGACTTTATTCCTGACAGACGCCAAGGCGACGCTGTGGCTTTTTCTACAACATCCTGCTTCCTCCCGGTCCCACTTACTTGAACGTCGATATTCACAAGAAATGTCTGCCCGGCGCTCTGTGTAAGTCCGTTCTATGGGGGCTCCAACGGGTCATAAGCTTACAACGTCCTTTGAGACTATTCCCATAGCGCCTCGACCTGATGACATCTATGACATGTCGAAGCGCATCCATGGTGTAGATCTCGACGCGAAACTCTGAACACTCTAACAGCTGCTGTCTTTCCCCGCTCGAACTCGCTCCCCCGTCCCCCCTTCCAGATGCGCACTCGTCCACGACAGGCCGCGCAAGCTTCCCCCCGACCCCACCTACGATATCCTACTCGCCGCGCTCTTTGAGAACCGGTTCCTCATGCCTTCGAACCCCATCGATGGGTGCGCGTCCCTCGCTCCCAGTTCTCTCCATCACACTCGTCGCCACCTTTTGCCAACTCGCGGGTCGTCTCTACACACACATGTCCTCGCAACTCCTCGAAGAAGGTGAACTATGCCACCCACACTCACGCTCGCCGCCACGGACGACCCGCGTACCGAGGCGCAGCATCTGCTCTACATCGTCGAGCTCGGGATGCCCGCCGCGCGCTCACAGCCGTGTGGCAGTTCGTCCATGCCGCAGCATTGGCTCTGGCAACGCATGTTACACAATCAGGAAACCTAGGCGAGTCCCATCCTTTCAACGCCTCCCAGATAACCGAGCGCCCATGGACCTGGACCAACGTGGTCGCCGCTCACGCTCGCGCACGACCAGAACATCCCGCGATTGGTCAAAACCGTGTTCTCGAAGTGCATCCGTAGCTGCACGCTCCGCTGTATGCTTAAGCGCGCCCCCGCGTGCAGCACGTTCGCGAAAGGAACGTACTTCCCCTGCGCCCTGAGCGGCGGATCTCCCCTCAGGTCTTCATGACTACAGCGTGCGCGCGCCTGCGAGCGCAGCTGCGGTGGGAATGACGCACGAGGTGCAAGCGCACTGCGTGTAATCCGGATCGCGTATGCTGACCTGTGCGCGACATACCTCCAGGAATGCGGGCGGGAGCGGAGAGCAGCATTGTGGGGATGAGAACAAGCCCGAGGGCTCGGAGGCACACGATATTCGCATCTCTCCGACGACTGAACATTGAAACTTCTGTACATACATTTCGCGGGATCCTCTACAATACAACACTGTCATTTCGTCCCATACTTCTCCTCTCCAGACGCCCTCTTCGCTTTTAGATCCATGACGAATGTCCTAGTCAGCACCACCGTCCGCGTGCACGCGGGGACATCCGCGAAATTGAACGCTTGCGGATCGATGAACGCCACGCTGGACACGTCAGGATGGATGGTGCTGCCGCAGGTTGAGGACATATCCTGGAGGGTCGATGATGTTCCGAACAACAGTGGGCGTCCTCCGCCGCGGAAAGGGTATCGAGATGTCGATTCCGCTGTCGTCCATGAGAAACTCCAGTCGCGAGCACGCGGGTACGCGTGAATGCCACCAGGTTCAGACTCTAGAATGTATCTGCCGCCGTGGCAGGAGGTATAGGGTGGGAGGTACAGGGTAAAACGGCCCGCAGCGTGCAATTCGTCGTGAGCTTCCTCTGGACCACGCACGATTGTGCGGGGGCCTCCGAAGAGGCGTGGAAGAGAGTATCCACGCAATGTGGCACGCGAAATCTACTTTCCCAACAGCGTGAGCATTCACTCGAAGACGTTTTCGGGCGAGAGGGGCGTAAAACTTGGAGAAATCGATGTGTCGCGCGCGTGGCTAGATCGAAGAGACACGGCCTCGAGAACGCCAGGCGCATCGTAGCGAATATACGGCACGTTGAGATCAGAGACAGGGAAGCGCAGATACGCCAAAGTGCATGTACAGGCCTCCGCGTGTGCCTAGCCGGATCGTGCGGGTCTCCTTGAGAGCGGCGTGAGAGGGCGCGGAAGGTGAAGTCATCCAAGGTAGTTCTCTCCGGTAACACACCCACGAAGCGTTTCGTCATCCACGGGGTGATGCGCAGGGACCCTATATCTCCGAGAAACAGATAGAGTCGCCGAGTGAGATGTGGGTGGGCGCGGGATGGACCGAGAGGTAGTTTAGAGCAGGAATGTGGGGTCACATTATGCGGCCGGCAGCGGGGAGTGTAAATACACCTCACTCACTCACTCACTCACTCACTCACTCACTCACTCACTCACTCTGCTCTTCTCCTGCGCTCACTTTATCGCTGTCTCCGGTTCGACTTGGACTACGCTCTTCGGATATTTCTGCTGTCTCCCCTTGTCTCACTCGAGCCAACAGCTCCCGCAGCCAATATACCAGTATCGTCGCATCTCTGTCGTGCTGTTTGTCGACAGATGGCGGACGTCGAGGCTGAACCAGGATAGCTAAATATAAACATGGCTCTGTGTTGGACTCAGCGTTCAGGTAAGCACAACTTATCCAGGCAATTGTGAAGGTGCTCTATCCGGTTTGTCTCTGCCCTTCAAATGCTCGTATGGTTGCATCTTACACTGTTGTGCTGTTATCTGCTATTCTTACGCTTTCGATGCGCTTTCAATGCTTCTGGCGCGCTGTGGATGCTCGGAAATGGTTCACGGGCCGGTTCTGATCGGCACTTTCTGTAGGCTGCACTCGCCGATATGGACACCTTTTGAGAGCTGGCCGCTCTTCAGAATACGCCGCAAGCACTTTACATATTCGACATCCTCCAGGTAAGTGCATATATCTCCATAGCTATATCTCTTTCTAGTACGACGCGGCCTGAGGATGTGTCGTAGAACTCCGAGCTATCTCTATGCTCGTAGCTACGTACTCTTGCTGCTCGTCCGCTCGGCGACCCGTGTATGTGTGTTGTGCAGGGATGCATGGTAGATGTATGCTATTAAGGATGGAATACAATATTGACCACTTCGTCTCGATAGGAACTCTCGGGTCGCTCTACCACATGCAGCGCGGGGCGTATCTAAGACGAGTTCAGCCACAAACGTGACGTGCTCAACATACAGAGGCTAAGACGCGATACCCGTGAGGGACCCTTGCGCCGCATTATGCGGCTCAGCGGCCGACTTTAGCACTACAGCCCTCCATTCTCCGCCGCCGCATTCGGGCTCGAGCTGCTAGCGTGAAACTCGACACGATGGTGACATCGCTGATTTCCGATCCGCCAACGCGCCACGATTGCGGTCCTTGGAATCTGTAGACATCTACGCCTCAAACCCGCCCGCACACGCGCGGGTACCATAGCCCAGCTCTCCAACTCCCTCTCCTATCGATCTCGGATCCGCCCTTACCTACGGTCGATACACACCACCCGCGACCCAATATCTGTGCCTAGTAACATCGTCAAAGCCGCACAGTGCACGAGCTGATTCCTCTTGCCTCCGAACCCAGATGCAATCACGTCGTCCTGGACGGCGCGACAGGCGCAGCGCTTGTTCCTAACCCTCTCTGTAGCACACCCATGAGCCGGCGCTGCCTACACACAGGCCCAATGTTTCGCACGTCTTCGATGCGCTCATTTCCTAATCGTACCCCTCGGACACGCTGGACTTTGCGGAGATATCACCCCTGCAGGATTTGTGTCGTTCGACTCTCGGGCGCGCGTCCAGTCGTGGGAAATCAAGCGCATTCTCGGGTCCGTCATGGGGTACTCACTTGTACTTACACAAAGGTTACCAACTCGAGTGAGGGAGTCCAGGGTGAGCAGCGCACATGCTTTGCCGATGGGGACACTGAACACTCGGGTATGCATATCATAGGTTTTTGACGCGCCACTATATACGTGTTCTAGCTCATACTACAACTGTGTCTCCTGTTGATCGTCGGTGGCCAGATGTCCGCAGCCTGTATTAAATGTTACGCCAATAAGAAAGGGAAGGGAACAGTGCACACCTGAGGACCTGGTAAGAACTTCAACCTGGGAGATCATCGCAGACATATTCCGGTCCATGTCCTGCATTTGCGGAGTGCCGAGTGGACAATCCGGTCATTTGCGCCCGTAGAGCGTCCGTCGCTCTCTAGCCACAGCGCATCAACTCTGGCCCGAATCGCTGATTGTGCGTCCTCTGCATCCTCTGCCGGGACACCATGGTGGGGCGGGGATGGGGCCACTGCATCGGTGTGCTCGCATGCCATGTCGTTCGAGGTGCTGTCTCTGCAGGATCCAGACGAAGAACCATCCGGAGTGTTGACAATTGGACGCGCGTAGATGTGCTCATCCGATAGTTCGATGGACAGCCAAAGGATAGTCGCATTTCGCTTCGATTCAATCGGCGGACTCGCGAACGGAAACTCGAGTGCAACGCGCAGGCGCCGCGCCGTGGTGGCCCAAGTACCCTTTGTCGAGCAGTAGCGGTTCCAGAGGACGTTGTAATCTGCGTGGACAATTGTACGAGTACGGACTTCGCCTAATTGCAATGTGCACTCATGGCTGCCGTCACAATCCTCGTTATCGCGGGTCTCGTTTAAGACACGATTAGTCTTGGTAGCGATGCAGTGGAAGGAGTCAGTGTTGGGCGACTCATGACAATGTGAAAGTTCACACCTTGAACGAGAAGCACGCTTTCGCGGTGTCGTAGCTCAGCATCGTGAGGACAAGACATAGTTCGAACGTATACATGGCGGGTTGCAAGGAGGAGTTGCTGCTATTGAGTACAACCGTGGTTTTTAGGCTGGTCTCGCGTGCCGAACGTTTGACGTGCAAAGGAGAAGGGATGAAACCTAGTGCCCGCAGGGAGTCGATGCTGTGAGGCGCGATCGTAAAGAGGCACTTTTTGGTGCGATCTTCAGACCAGAGATCTAGATTAGAGCGTCGTGCGAAGCCCCTTTGGAGCGACTTGGGGATCGGAGGTTCCGAGTACCAGTGGTGGAGAAGGGACACCTCGATGACTTCCGGACGGATGTGATCCAGGATCGTCGCCAGCTTCTGCTTTGCCACGCCGATGACACGGTATGGACTGTGACCACTGTGAGTGGCGCATCGGCCTGAATGAGTTCCAATGAGAATTTCGCGACTGGATGACCCCGGGCCGCATCCGTCTCGAGACCGGCAGAGAGGAAGCACGAGGGGGTGGCCGTGTTCATCCTGGCACTGAAGAAGAGCCAGCGTGTCCACTTCGCCCAGCCGCCTACATTCTGCACACGTATCCCCGAGCCACACTTCCCTGAAAGCCTCCAAAACATGTGGGACTTCCGAAAGCAGGAAGCAAAGAAGTTGCATGCGGACGCCCTCCGCGGTGAAGATGCAATGCACGGGCGGGACAGTTTCCCGCGCTGTGAGGCCCAGGGTCGCCGCGAGATGGGAGGGTGTCATCAGAGTGATATTCCTGGAATTCACGAAGGGTGACGGAGAGCTTGCCAGCAGACCAGGATTGTATCTATCATGGGGGTTGTCCAGGCTGACCGTCCATGTCGTACGGCGATCTCCCCAGACGAATATGCTTTGATCAGGGATTGTCCTGATGATCTCCTCTTGCAGACGGAGGAAGGCATTCTCGCCCTCGCCGTAGATCGGCGACATGTGGATGTCGAAGATGCCCATCAAGGAGTACGCACGATCCTCCACGCGCGTTGTGTACCGCTTGGCCGCCCACGACATCCTCCCCGCCACACTGATTGAGTCCAACGTAGTCCGGTGGGTGAGAATATCGAGGTTTATCCCAGTGAGATTCTCCAAGGTCCTAGCGAGCCCCATCTTCGATCCTAGGAAGCGCCAGGTCTTCGTCAGAAAGATGAGACACTCGGGTGCGATGAGCTCCTGCAAGGTCCAGCCACGCCTGTGCCACCTGCTATCCTGGAATTTGCTGCCAAACTCCTGAGGCCGATCTCCGTCCGGAACGTCTGCGAGGTAGACATAGCACATGTCTGAAAGTCTGTACCACTCGTACATCGAGTTTATGGCCTCAGAGAGCTCGGCACTGCTGGTCTTGTCAATGCAGCAGGCGTCGTTCCATGCGAGACGGAAACCGGCCTTGCGCGCAACCTTGCAGAAGCCCTTTATTTTGTCTGAAAGGCCGGGGTAGGCGAAGATCGTCCCACGTTTACGGTACTTGGTGAGTGAGGCGTCAGGGGCTCGGGACAATTTGAACCGGCCTCTCTTCACGGCTGCCTGGATCTTCAGGACGTCGTGGTACGATTGTTCGCCGCCATCCTTCGGATCACGCCAAACGTGGGACAGGATAGCGTAGGTGACTTTTTTTGGATCGGGATGCCACTCGAATTCGCCCGTCCAAGTGTTCAAGAAGCGCGGCATTCTGCGCCCGAGGGATACTTGTAGATTAGTAACACTTTCATCCCACAGAAAATGATTTTCATACTCGCCTTCTCCTGTCGCTCTGAGATATGCAAATTCTTTGTTCAAGATAGGCTCAAGACAGAGACGAGGAATGGGCTCCGTACGCGTGCAGTGGTTTCTGAGTGGACGCTCCTGATATGCACCTGTGCCTAGCGCACATTTGACAGATGCTATGCTGCAGGCGGTACGCGTGCGTAGTCGCCAAGCTGCAGGACACGAGGTTTCCCTCTCGGAGATGACGTACCACTGTCTGCCGCAATGTTTATACTGCAAAAGCCCCTCATAACCAATAAGTACGCACGTCATTGCAGAAGTACCGGAAGCCAGCTTACAGAAATTTCCTATACACTGGTACATTGAATGAAGCAAGGAAAGACGTTGGGCCGCCGCTGGCTCTGCGGACGGGGATGAGAACGTGCCTGAGGAAAAGCCATGCGGGCTAGAACCGCTCGTGCACCGTTGCTGCACGGCGATGATTGACATAAGTGACAGCGTGGAGGCGGCAAGGATCCGGGACTCCGGGCAAAGTCAACGACCGTCCTATCCGGATTCTTCGCTGAAACAAGGTCTGCTGCATGCTCGAACGACTCTCCTGCAACTGTTCTGCAGATGCATGTTGTAGTATCTCGTTCTTTTCTTCACAGGTCACATACAGCTGCTATGGGTGCACGCCCGAGGCTGTAGGGGCGGTAAAAATGGCGTGCAGCGCGCACAAGAACACGGGGACGTGCGGGTGACTAGAGTGCGTTGAGCACCAAGCGTGGGTATGTACATCGAACAGGGTGCGTACGATAAGTACGTGACAGTTCAACGACGCATGCGGCGACGTATGCCAACGTTGTACCTCGCCGGGCGGGCGTGGGCGAGGCTCAGTCATTCGAACTCCACCCCGTACATGCCCTCGCGACATACGTAGCCATCCAGAATCGAGGCAAAGAAGCCTAGCGCTCTAGATTCTACGCGACAATGAGCGTATGCGGAAACGTAACCGCCATGCTCAACGCGTTGGGGCATCGAAGGCTGACGACGGTTTGAGATATCGACCCGCGGTAGACGGTCCACAACAAACTAGAGCGGCGCGCATGCGGCTGCGGACAAATATCATGGGCGGACGCTCCAGGAGATATAAACATCATGATAGACCCACGGGGTCCGGGACGGGTGGGAGTATGGGTCTCGCAGCGCGTTGGTTGTTCTGAGTTCGTCCACGTAGAGTACGATCGCACGCCGGGCTCCGCAAGGCACTGAGTTTGGACGCGAGGTGATCACCCATTCCGCGGCATCCCGCGCGCGCGCGAGCGTAGGAAGTAGACGGTACATCAAAATGAGCGACACAGAGGCCGCGGCCGACACGCCCAGATGTGTGCATAGTAATGTGCGCGCGCGCAGCCGGATTGCGCGAGGCTGCCTTACGAAGAGCGTGTGTACGCGGCGGGTCGGCACATCGATGGGCTCTTCTCATATGATATGTCCGCGGAGCCTTCCAGTGTGCAGTAGGCGACGCGCAGAAATCCCGACCGCAGGAGGGCCCTGCAGCGTCGCACGCACGCGACACCGCGTGCATAGTCTGTCCTATCCCCGGCTCTTTGGGTGACAAGAGCAGTGCGGAGACGCTTGATGGACTTTCCCAGGTGTACGCACAGACGCGGCAGACATGGGGGGGGAGAGGGGAAAGCGTGGTGGATAGATTGCAGCTCGCCGTAGGTGGTGAGTGCGCGGCTGCCTGAGACGACGCAGTCTACGAGAAGTAGAAAGCATTGCCGGGCGTGGTGCTGGTGGACGCAGGGTTGATCTGGAGAAGGTTTAGATCAGGAAGAGGAGATGGAAGGAAAGTAGGTGGACGAACCATGGCGTGACGTTTGCGTACGGCTCGACCTGGGGTATTGTGCAACAGAGCACAACGCCTGAGCGCAGAGCATAGCAGCTAGGAGAAATTCCCGGACCGCGCGAGGCACGTATGAGTCCTGAAGTCGAGATCGCAAATGGAGCAATGCCGGTACGGCTCTAGGATTTGGCGGTTGCGCAGCGCATTCGATATAGGGGGTAGAGTCGCCCACGCTCGTCCATAATGAGGCGGACTAGAACGACGGCTTCGCCGGTGCTGGCGACCACTTGTAGCAGGATGCCCTACGAACGGGTATCAGAGATCAAACACATCGATGGGAAGGATGTAGGAGACGAACCTGGTCAAGTTCGGCGTCTCCCCATATTTTTCAGTGCATCCTGGCGGTATTTTGCAAGACTATGTGGTATAGTCTACGAGTATGGAGGCTTGATGGTACAGGAGGCCTGCGGAGCTGGAACGGCGAACGAGTGGGTTCTGGCATCGTAGTACATTGAGCTGTGACTTTGTGGGCACTGATGGAAGATCACTCACATAGCCCCTTGCGCTGGCAATCATGAGCAGCTTTTTGAGTCCGATACCTACTATTGTGTTCAGCTGAGGAAGTATCTGCAGGACGTCCACTGCGACGTACTGATGCCATCGCGCAGCCTGCACGAGTGACGAGTTGGGACTGGACTGGCTCTCGTTGACGATGTGGGAGGGTGGAGGGAAAACGCCGAGAATATTGGCCAGCATAGAATAGAGAAGAAAGCGATACGTGCCGGCGTTGGTGTGCGTTGTGGAAGTAACGGCGAGAGCGCGGACGAAGGGGCCTGCGAGCGGTCCGTGCGCTGAACAGCGCAACCCTAACCTAGCATTCCGAATACATGCCGTAAACGCGCCCACGTGGCCGCGTCCCACCGCGTCTTGACCGCGTCGCGTCTTCGAACGCCTTCTGCTTGCGACTTCCCCGTCGTCCTAGGGACCATGCATGCCATAGTCATGGCTGAGCCTGATTGTGTGAATAAAGCACCGTAGCCGGATAGACGAGTGCACGGCTTGCCTGTGAAGTCGCTTCAAGCGGTATCAGTTACACCAGTAACACAGAAAATGAGAGAGCGTACAAAAGCCCAGGGCGTAGAGAGGGTGACTTGTCCCGGTCGAGGTGAAGCAAGTTGAAGAAGAGACGATGAGACGAAACTGTGGGAGAGCGGACGAGAGAGACACGTGTAGACCGAGCGCCAGAGCCTGGTCGCGACGTACTGACATCATCGTCGGTTGTATAAGGTTCTGTCAGAGCTGTGCGTTATTTTCCCTGGGGATCTGAAGACAGTCCTGACGTCCGTCCCCCAGCTCGTCTACGCCCACTCCCTCGCAATCACCGAGAACATCCTGCCATTGCGCCATGGAGAGCTGCCGGTTCCCAGTAGAAATATGTGAGTCCATCATCCATGCCTGCCGGGATATGCAGGTCTCTTGGATCACACGCAACGCGACCCTCATCCCCTGCGCCCTGACTTGCTCCGCCTGGCTCCCCTACAGCCGCTACTCGCTGTGTAACAGGGTCGTCCTCTCCGCCGCCGCCCAATCCGACTCGTTTCTCTTGACCATCGCGGCGAACCCCCCTAGGGCGGCGTGGGTGAAGGTGCTGGAGATCTGGGCGTACGAGTACCTGCCGCTCGCGCGGCTGCTTGCTCCGCAGCTCTTCAAAAACTGCCGCCACCTCAGCCTCGGGGTCGAGTGGCAGGTGTATCCGCCGCACTACGCGCACCGGGTGCTCGTGCCGCTGCTCGGGGCGCATACGGAGGTCGTGAGTCTCCACCTCGATTTCCAGCTCAGCTACCCCGGCGCCGCGCACGCGTGCTCGATGACCTTCAGCCAGTTCCTCCATATCCTGTGGTCTCTGCCGCAGCTCCGGCGATTGGTGATCAGGGATGCGCCGCCCGAGATCAAGCTGTGGCATCTGACGAGGTTCCGCGAGAAGAACGAGTTCTGCCCGAACCTGGAGGAGCTACATATCCTTGTGCGCATCTGCATTTTACTCAAAAGCGTCGTGCGGCTGACGCTACGGATCACTATCAGGGTCCCAAACTCTGCACTTTGAAGCATTTCGCGCCTCCAGGCCTGTTCGGGGTCTCCGTCAAAACGCTGAAGCTGGAGCTGAACGCCCATGAGACGCTATCCGGTACGTTTTCGCCAGCAGTACTGTACCTGACTCCGTCATTTATCGGCGTCGTTGGAGAGAACATGCTGCTATGCATCAACAACTTCCCGGCTCTCGAAGACCTGACGCTGTCCATCTGGTTCGGCATCTCGGTGCTCGACAAGAACCTCCTGCACGACCTCATATCCCATGTGCAACCATCTCGCTTCGCGTTGCTGACTCTCGAGTTGGGGCCTTCCATCGGGTCGTACGGCATGAGCCGTGCTGAACTGCTCGAGTTTGTCGCGGGCGGCGCGGTCGCGCAGACGCTCGGGACGTTCCGGAAGCTCGCAGAGTTCAGGGTGTCATTGACTGACGAGGATCCTCGTTTTGATGACAGCTGGTGGGCGAGCAGGCTCAGAGACCTGCTGCCTGAGCTGAAGGCGGACGTATGTGTGGACGTCGATGTGGACAGTACGTGTCTGTGTACTCGTTATGGCGACATGCAGCTTATCATGCGTTTATATAGCTGATTTCATCGGATTGTGGTCGAAAGACGTGCAGGACGCTTTGGAAAAGTGCGAGTGTACCGAAGATAGGTGAGTGAACACGCCGAGGCAGATGACTCTCGTTTTAGTGACGTCTGAGTAGTAGTTCCTCCGGGGAGGCGAGGCGAAATACGGTCCAGCAGCGGTGCCAGCTCAAAATGAGATAGTCCATATACGCGACACGTAGGGCACAAGATCTTACACTAGTTACTCACAGGATCTCGTTTCAGTGCTTCGTTCCGGTAAACTTCTTGACGTGCTAACTTTGATCTATACTAAGGACTGTGCAGAGACGACGATGCTAACATGTCCTCCCATCGTTGAGCGGATCCAACGCACGCACGCAAACAGGAGGCATGTCGAGCCAAGACGTCTCTCTGCGCTGAAACTGGGAAGCTCTGTAGTCGCTTGTCTGGGGTTCTTTGCTCCCGCGATGGCCTCT